GGGCAGCTCTGTTAGACTATATATATATATATATCGTCAAATAGAACTGCCCGGTAAACCGTAGGCAGAGAGGGAGAAGAGGACAACAAACGAGGGGCTGTGACAAACTGTTTCGTCGGAGTTTCACCGACTCGTCATATATATATATCGTCCTCTTCTCTCTCTCTGCCTACGGTTTACCGGGCAGTTCTGTTTGTGACGATATATATATATAAAGGAATTTTGTTCATCTAGTTCCATCCGGATTCAAACTCAGGTCTGTATTTCAACAGTCCACGGGCATACCAACTGAGCCACCTGCTTCACCCGAACACATTGTATATCCATCATAGCTGTATTTACTATTTACTATTTAGGCTTATCTTTTTTAGCTTTTTTTTCCCCAAAAATTTGGGCTATCTTTCCGCCTAGATACAGCTATAATGACCAAGGTAGGCCAGTTGGTTATGGAAGCTCTTCTGACTGATTGAAAAAAAAAAAAAAAAAAAGGAGGGCAAGTGTCCAAGTCTCGTTGGATGCAGCAATGTGGCCTAGCCTGATGGGGCATGAGACCTGGTAGAGATCCGGCTTTTCACTGTAAACGGCCATGTCGGCGTGTTCATAGAGGGGATTGTATGAGTTTCCATCTATCTTTTCCGTGGTCGGGAGGACCTTCAGTACATCAGGATCTGAATTTTTGGAGAAACTCTTCATCATCTATAGTCTTCTTAGTCGAAACCTGGTGATGTCCCCGGTATTTCATGATTCTGTACTTTTCATAAGGAAAACCGGGCCGGGTTCCCAGCCGTGTTGATGATCGAATGGTCAGCCCGTCGACCACACGTGAGGACATGAGGCATCAACGAGAGGGGGCACCCGTCTCAAAAAAAAAAAAAAAAAAAAAAAAAAAAAAAGTGTCCGTTTTGATGAAATTGCTGTTAGGACAAAGAGTGGGGGTACCCGTCGACCAGACGTGAGGACATGAGGCATCAACGAGAAAACATTTGCCGGCCCTGACTTCCATACCGCATTGAACACACATAGGGCCTCGCTGCACTACTCTCGAAATGTGCAAAACGAGAGAATCTTACGCTAGAATATGGAAAGATACACGGCCAATATTTTTGTCTTTTGTGCATGTTGAGAGTAGTGCAGCGAGGCCCATAACTGCACATTCCCATCGTGCAGATTCCCACACTTTCTCCCCCCTCCCCCTCCTCCTTTTCGGCTGGCACCAGACTCGCCCTCCAATGGATCCTCATTGAAGGAGTTTACGGCTGAGCTCATGCTGATTACCAAAGTCGAAAGAGGCCAGTATTGTTTATTGTCACTACCTCCCTATGTCAGACTTCCGCACTTTTGTTTTTCTCGCTTTTTTTTTTTTTTTTTTTTTTTTGGTATCCCTGCGCGATTGCCAGTGTCAGTATGACCGCTCAGTCTTCTCATTTCTCCAACTCCACTTGCAGGAGCGCTTGCTCATATCAAAAGCCATCAGATCCTTCTGTACTTGGCGCTCCAGCTTAAGCTCACGCCCAGAGACCCAATTGTTATGCAGCACGAAGCATCCCTTCTGCTCACAAACCGACTTTGGGTCGTCGGCGTCCCAGATACCGTACGACGCGCCATTTGGGAACCGACTCCGGTCCAGAAACGCTACAGTCAAATTACCAAAGAGTGGCGGCCGACACAGGTCGTCACCCACACGGTACTCCCCGGTGCTGCCACACAGATTGGCGTAGAAACTGGGCTGCTCGGACCCCTTGGACGCGAGGGCATGCACAATTATGTGCTGAAATGCTGTCACCGTTCCGGTATCGTTTCGCGCCAAGTAAAAGCCGGAATTCACCCGTCGGATGTCGTTAGCTGGACCTGTCTCGTTGTAGTTGTCGCTCTGCACCACTAGATGCCCCGGTCCATACGACCACATTTTCCCGATAGGGTTCTGGAACCAATAGACGTCCACGTCCGAGAAAAGAACATTGTACCCTTGTCTCAGAAGATGAAGCACCACCCTCGACTTGTATTTTGTCAGTCTCGTGAAGCATTCCGTGCCGAAATAACACTGATTCGGTTGCTCTGTGAGCCTGTCAAGTGTGGTTCCTCGTTCCAACCAGCTCATATTTGCGTTATCGTCTGGATTGATGGCTGTGACAGGCACGCTGACACCTGCGTCAAGCTCGGCTTCTCCGACACGAAAGATAGGTAAGCCGTGGAGAACACCTACACGGTACAGCTCGTCGTCCAGGGCACCGATGATGTAGTTCCGCAGCCGTAGAGCTTCCATTCGACATACCCAAGCGAACAGGAACTCTGCATAATTTAGCGCCGCGACAGTGAGGACCAGCAACTTATCTGGGCCTGCAGCTGCTCCCCTTGCCAAGGTTTGCATGTCGTGGGGCATCGACACCCGCCTCAGCACAGTCGACGGGTGCGGCAGAGCAGGCAGAGGGCACATGCCCGCAAACTGCTGGCAATCACATGCAGAATACCACCCAGAGTCCCTATTCTGGAAACCTCCTTTCCGTTTTGACGCTTTGGCAGTGAACACGCTAACCGATGCGATAAATAATCGATGGGCGCGATAATCCTTCCTGCCGGCCTTCATCTGATCGAGCTCGACAGAGCTGTCCCCCTGTACCATGGGACCATTTGGGGCCAGGGATCCTGCTCCTTCCTGGCTGCTGCATTCTGAACCTTGGTCGCATCTCCTTCGAACTTGCCTGCAGTACATGTCACACTGCAGACTGCCCTTTTTCCTCTTGTGAACGACGCAAACACGACTGCTCTCAGATCTTCTGGAAGTGCGACATCGCTTCATTTGCAGTGGAGCATCCTCGAGCGTCCGCTGGCTCGTAAAATACCGTCCATATGCGACCGTCCAGTACATGTTCACATCCTCTTCCCAGCGTGAAGTGCCTGTTGCAAGCTGCAACTCAACTGGCTTCGCGTTTCCACTACTAGTTAAGTTCGAATTCAGCATGCCGCCACAGAACGACAGGCTGTCCTTATTGGTTTCCTGTGGCCGCTCCGCATCATCTTGTTCAACGATCGCGGTGATGACATCACTCCCATCTACGACGCGGCGAATCTTTGAGTTGATTGCCTCGCTTAATACCCATCCCTCGTACCCTCTAAAACCCATGAAGAAGGGGGGAGTCACCCCTGACAGCAGAGGTGTTGTGCCTGTATTCCAGGCCAGCACTCCGATCCCTTCGCATCGCTGGAAAAGAGCACCCGTTGCACGCAAGCAACTCCGCACGTCCTCATCGGCCAATGACGAGAACAAAGGGAATGGATGCGCAGAATACTCCTCCTCCTTTGCTGGCAGTCCCAGACTAGTCAGATTTTCAGTCCTCCACGATGGGCTTGCCAACAACCAATCGCCACTCAACAGCTGTGCCCTTTTCAGTGACGCCGAGAACAGCGATGGGAGCAGTATCAGCTCCGCAGGGTCAACGAACACGGCAATCTCAGACTCTGCAGCTCTCGCACGGTCAAGCACACTGTTTAACAGCGGCACCCCATCAAATGTGGTGTCTACGTCTGACTCACACACGACAGGGGGATTGCCTCCAGATCTTTCTTTGAATTTTTGACACACAGCATGCACGGACTGCGAGGTACTTAGCAGCACAACACGAACGGTGGGACCTAACATCAACCACGATGCGATTGCTCTGTGCAATCGGCTATGCTGGATCCTCGTGAATGGTGGCGTTGGGGCAGCAAAGATCGTAACCGAAGGATGACTCGTGTCATTTCCATCCCTGCCGTTTCCCATCCGCTCAAGCGAGTGGTTGACCCTTGTCCGCCACGCCTTCCAGCACATAATGCGCTGGACATTACTAATACCAGTCCTGCTTTCATTCCTAGCCACAGGATCAGGATCGCGCATGGTATCAATGACATCGCACCCATCCCACTGCCATCCAACTTGAAAAACCAACCCGGCAAAGACGACAGCAGAAATGACGCGTAGAAACCATGTCATATACACCCCTGACTGCTGCATGCTGACAATGCCAATCTCACTCACAACACAAGGGTCCCTTGCAAAGGGGATGTAACGCATCTGGTCGCCATGTGGGTCAATACGCGTTACGTACGCACCATCGATTTCCTGCTACATTCAAAAGGGGATACGAGTGAAGGTTGTTTGCAGCTACAGAGTGCACATATTTGTCAGCGTTGTCGGTGACACTGAGCACACGTCAGGTACATCTCCTTCGTCAAATCGCCGCTACCTCTGGGACACTGAACACCTGACCTGCGAAGCTTAACAAGCCCCGGATATGGCGCCGGTTCTTGGCAGCCCCGCCGAAGGCCCGCGAAGGGGAGTGCAATTAATTGTCAAACCTTGGTGACGCCATGCACGCGCCAGACACATCCTCTTTGCTAAACCACCACAAGCTCCGGAAACGACCTGCTGAGCCTAACCAGGTCCGGCGTGGTAACCAGCTTCGAGCAGGCCGGAAGGCGAAAGTCCGAGCCTGTTGTAGCCAGAAACTGGTACCATTGGACAGGTGGCCCTTTCAGGCAGTGGTGTTTAAAGATGGGCTGAAGAGAGAGAAGTGCACCTGCACTTCTCAGATCCAGCATGAATAAAAAGACTCACAATGGAAGGAGAGCAAGATAACCAGTAAGTAACCACTTAAAAAAAAAAAAAAAAACTACCCAAGCCCTACAAAAATATATAGTCAAGAAGAGTTTTGTGAGAGTGGATCTGGATATCAAGTTCGATAAAATGTTACACCTGCTCCAGCGCTGCTGTATTTCAAAATTCAAATCCCCCCCCAAAAAAACTACCCATGCGGCGAGCAGTACAACTGGTGAATGGAAAGAGAGTGGCTGTGGACATCATAGTGTTAGACCTGATAAATTTCGAATGCAGAAAAAAACTTCCCACACAGTACAAATGACTAGAAAGACGTCCCAGAAGCATCAGGAACCTAGACGTAATGTTGAACCTGATGCATTGTAACTTCTGAAAAAAGCCTCTAACCTCCGCCGCATGTGTCCTCTGAAGCCCTCAAGTTCTGAATCGCTCAAAAGTAGAAAATGGCGCCGACTGCTTTGGCTGTAAGCTTGTTGTCATCTGCCACGACCAACCAGAAAGCCGGAAAAATGGAAATGAAATTTGGAAACAATCCAAAGGTGAAGTATGGTGAGCATTTGAAGAAGAAAAGATACGACACATATGGCATCTCATTGCAAACAAAGTTCTCCGATGAACACCTTTGAGCAGATTCAGCCCTTGGACGATACTGGAATCAGATCAGCAGACAAGCAGGGCCAGGCCCGGCCTGCTCTCCGCGCAACACGTCAAGGAAGGTGACTTGTCGTCGATGTGGCCTTCACGCTGGACCGTCTGCATGCCAGGTGGCGCGCAACGTGGTGCCCGCTTGAGAGGGGTGTGTCCGGTGGAAAGGGGTGTTACTAGGTGCGTGGGTTGCGGTGTGTGACGTGGCATTGGTTTATTGCGGCTATGTGGTGTGGGAGGGAGATGGAATGCAAAATTCTGCTTGGAGAGGAGCAGCAGGGTATCCCTCCTTCCCTGTTGCTCGAGGAGGAGCGCGACATGGTAACGRTGGATATWTCTCCAGCGATGAGGATGCTGGATCTCTATAAAAATCAATTGGCGGAGATGCTAGAGCTTCTGACCAGTGAACATGGAAGCCTCCCACTAGAGCTGCTGCTGGAGAGTGAAGGGTTTCTTGATGAATGGGAAGCGGATTTGATAACTAATTGCTCTTTGCAGCCTCCACAACAACAAGACTGCCACGAAGTGACGCAGATGGCAGCAGATATGCAAGCGTTCCTCTCGCTGTTTAAGAAGCTGCAGGCGGCGATTTCAATGTGTCGGGCAACTTTTGATACTGACACAACTAACTTACCTCGGCTTTGCGCTGGCGAGATGGTTCGTGGGGCTGATTTCCATTCAGAAGATGCCCCCAACGCGCCGCAAGCGAGGGTTGAGGTGACAGCAGGTCACAACTATCCTAATCTGGACTACGGAGACCACACTGTGTGTGCCGACCTGCTGCTACTTGGAAGTAACCAGCATAATGAAGGACGAGGTGGTTGCACCAAGTGCATTGAGCCGGTGCAATTTGGAAATAACGAACATAACGGGGAAGGGGGCAGTCAACATGCCGAGGGGGGAGGAGGGTGCACTATGTGCACTGAGGGGGTGCTATTCGGAAACGAYGAGCASGATGAGGAAGGGGGTATSCAGTATCACATGATAGCTGAAGATGGTGAGCAAATGCATGCTGGTGTGATGCCTCGAGGCCGCCRCCACCCCTATGATCRACAACAAATTCAACCTTACAACAWCATCTTACAAAGCGACGGGAGGGATATGGTACGCAATCACTTGACCTCCCTCCTGCAACCTGTCTTGACTGGCTATGGTCGCCCGGGAGCTTCGGGCATTCGTCAACTTCAGCAAGCTGTCCCTGAAGTGTCGAGTACTGGGGRKTTTSCCTGCACCCCATTCTGGTTTGGTGATGTGGAGGTCGCTGGTGACTTTGGAGAAGGTAAGTGSTCRGTGCTGTTAGGTATCTGTTTCTTCTGGGGATGGCTAGGGTTTCGTTTTGAAGACGGGAGGATGGAACAAACACTAAGGGAGGGGACAACTGTGATACAACAGGCTTGGAATGAGGGGATGGGGAGATCGGGTGTTGGTTAGGCAGGTATGGGCGGGGGAGAATTTGTCAATGTTGTCCTCTACCAATGATGCTAGCATTACAATATGATCGCAACATAACGGGTGGAGCATTGGAGAGCTGGTGTACATATTTGCTCGAGGCCAAGAAGTGGGAGAGGAAGGATTCGAACCTACGTAGAAATATAACCTTCAATAGATTTGACAACCTTGATTGAATGTGTAGGATAGGTGGGAGGTGGTCATCAGTGACTACCAAGCTTGAAATATCACTCTTTCATCGAAGGGTGTCTAACTGCCAAAACAATTGGTTTGGTACTTCTGATGAACAATCACTTACTTTTGATAGTTATATGATTCCAGAGGATGATCTAGAATTGGGTCAATTACGTTTATTAGAATTTAGAAGTAGATAATCAAGTGGTTGTACCAGCCAAAACTCATTTACGTATGATTATAACATCTGCTGATGTACTTGACATTCGAAGAGCGTCGGTTTGTTGATTTGCTCTCTATTAGGGTACGGGAGTGAAGCACATATTCTGCCATGTGGCAGGGACAGGGTGGAATTTTAGTATGTTGGTGCAGAAGATGTAGATGATTCATTTGATAGCAATTGAAGATTGGTAGTAGTCCACCTCTGAGATAGATGGGCAGTCAATCCCCTTGCGAAGAGGGTAATCAATGCTGCTCATCGTATATAACTTGACAGAATGGCATGCATAAGACATCATCTGGCTCCTTGTTATGATGTAAAGGGACGCTGGACCCGTTTTCCACCAGGTGCAGCTCCCCACCAATGGAACGGAGCTATCCAACCGGAAAAAAAAAAAAAAAAAAAAAAAAAAAAATCTAGATCATCTGCCAATTTCTTGTTTGTGCACAAACCCCTACTTTCCCCCTTCTCCCTCCTCTGCCCCTGGCCAATTCCGCTAAATGACTCCTATATGCCCCTTCACAGTACAAGCACACAACACCACTGGTTCTCTACGTCCCACAGGGGGTTGAAAGCAATGTAGATCATCTGGCCACTTGCTTGCGCACAACCCCCCACTACTGTCTTCCCCCAAACATACCACATGCGTTGTGATCGAGTACAACGCTTATTAGGTTTGCATTTTATTTGAATAGAACGCCTAAGCGTTCTATTCGGACAGCCCTTATTTTCGAATAAACGCATACGCGTTCTATTCCAACTTTTGAGCTTTTCCAGAACTCGAATACGAACGCATATGCGTTACGTTTGAGGGATGACGGTAGTAGAAAAAAAAGGGATTAAGAAGACTCTCATTGCTTAGCTGTTGGGATGGGACACACGTGTAACCGACCACAAAAAATTCACACCCTGACAGATGCGATACTGGTGCGGTCCTCACCTGAACAGAACACCCGGTCATTATTGCTGTATCTAGACAAAGAGGTGCCCCAGATACAGCAGTAATGACCGGGTATTTCTATTCGGGGGAAGAAGATAAAAGAAATTAAAGAATCATTGAAAATGTGAAATATTTCACTAAATCCATAATGCGATATTTGAATCATATTTCAGTATTTGTATTTGTCCCCATTGCCCCCGATAGTTGGAAAATCGGAATTAGTACGAGTAAGCCTCAAAAAAAAAAAAAAAAAAAAAAAAAAAGCTTCACACCTCACGAGGGGGGGAGAGACGGTTAACGGGGGCCCAAATATTCGCCATTTTCGTTGGCAATTGTGGTGCGAATTTCATCAAAAAATTTAAAAACAAACAATATGAGACCATAGTGCAAACATCAAAAAAGGAAACAGGCCAAAAAGAACGAAAAAAAAAAAACAAAAAAACACTATGAAACCCTAACACAAAGACACTGTCCGAGTCAAAATGAAGCGTCCAACGAATTCAACAAAATGCCAACTTTTTCATTATTGATCCGAACATGTCAAAACTGCACACATGACGTACCCTAAAGCACATATATATCACACAAAAAGAGAAACAAGAAAAAAGAAAAAATGCAATTCGGTGCAAAATTCGTCGAAAATAACACCCCTGGTTAACCACGTGTGTCCTCTCTGAAGAAAGGAGTCGAGCCAGACTTACGATTTCTCAAATTTCTCTAGCTCCTTTGATTTTTGCTTCAACCATCAGCAGCTGTCTTTGCGTCCTCTGCAACATAACACAAAACAGGGGAAAAAAAAAAAAAAAAACAAGGGCAGAAAAAAATAAAATAAAAAAATCCATGGCGAGAGCAGATGCCCAGGTGTCAGACGTATTGCAGGAATTATAATCAATTATTCCAGCAAAAGATGCAATATTCACTTGCACAATCGAATGT